ACCCCAAGATCTGGCCTAAACCGGCAGTCAGACATCCCCCAAGAAGTCCCGGATTGGAGATGGTGCAGGCTGGGCTGAGGGGGCCCCACCCATGCACAAATTTCATGCACCAGGCCTCTAGTAAATGTATAGAAAGATATACCATGCTAACATAATCAAAAGAAAGCTGAAACAGTTATCTTAATTTCAGACAACACAGACTTCAGAGCAAGTAAAGTTACCAGGGAAAATAGGGACATTACATAATGATATGGGGGTCAATTCTACAGAAATACATAACAGTATTTTGGGTACAGTGATCATTTTTTTTTAAAAATATATTTTATTGATTCTTCACAGAGAGGAAGGGAGAGAGACAGAGAGCCAGAAACATCGATGAGAGAGAAACATCGATCAGCTGCCTCCTGCACATCCCCCACTGGGGAAGTGCACGCAACCCAGGTACATGCCCTTGACCGGAATCGAACCCGGGACCCTTCAGTCTGCAGGCCGACGCTCCATCCACTGAGCCAAACCGGCCTCGGCGATCATTTTTTATTTTACTTCATGTTTTTATTGAGAGAGAGGAAGGAAGATAAAGAAACATCGGTGAGGGAGAAACATCCATCATCAGCTGCCTCCTACAAGTCTCCTATTGGGGATAGAGCTTGCAACCCAGACATGTGCCCTGACTAGGAATTTAGCTGTGACTTCCTGGTTCATAGTTCAATGCTCAACCACTGAGCCACACCAGCCAGGCACTGATCACTTTTTTGATATGTCAAAGGCATGATCTGTGATAAGCTGGAATTCATTAAAATTAAAACCTTCTAGTCCTCGCTGGTTTAGCTCAATGGATGGAGCGTCGGCCTGCAGACTGAGGGGTCCAAGGTTCGATTCCAGTCAAGGGCACATGCTTGGGTTACGGGCTTGGTCCCAGTAGGGGATGTGCAGGAGGCAGCTGATCAGTGATTCCCTCTCCCTTCCTATCTGAAATCAATAAAAATATATTTAAAAAAAATTTAAAACCTTCTACTCTATGAGAGATAATATCAGGAGAATGAGAAGGCACTGATTAGAAAGAGAAAATATTTGGAAAAGACACATCTGATAAAGGACTGTTCTCCAAAACATAGTCTATGAATCAGAAAACAAGACCCATATATAGGCTGTCTATAAAAGGTCCCCCTCAGAAGCTAAGACACACACAGACTAAAGGTAAAGAGATGATACAACTAATAAGGGGTTAATTTATAACTCAACACCAAAAAAATAAACCACCCAATTAAAAAATGGGCACACAATCTGAATAGACATTCTCCAAAGAGGACATACTGATGGTTAATATAAAAAGATGCTCAGTGTCACTCATCATGAAGAAGTGTAAATTAAAACCACAATGAGATATCACCTGTGAGAATGGCTAGCATCAATAAACCTACCAATGATAGGTGTTGGCGAGCATGTAGAGAAAGGGGAACCCTCGGTCACCCTTAGTGGGAATGCAGATTGTTACAACCACTATAAAAACAGTATGGAGTTTCCTTAAAAAATTAAAAATGGAACTGCTTTATGACCCAGTGATTCCACTTCTGAGTATTTATCCAAAGAAGCCAAAACACAAATTCAAAAGAGCATATGCAACCCTATGTTCATTATAGAATTATTTACAATAACCAAGATATGGAGGCAATCCAAATACCCATCAATAGATGAGTAGAAAATAAAGCTGTGGTATATATATAAAATGGAATATTACTTGGCCATAGGAAAGAAGGAATGAATACAATAGCATGGATGAACACAGAAGTATTATGCTAAGAGAAAGACAAAAATCATATATCATTCATATGTGGAATCTAAATAATAAAATAAAAAAAATAGAAACAGTCTTATAGATACAGAAAACATGCTGATGAATGCTAGAGGGAAGGAGTCTTGTGGGGCAGGGCGCAAAAAGGTGAAGGCATTAAATAGTACTAATTGATAGTTACAATATAGGCACGGAAATGTTAGCTAACAAATAGGGAATATAGTCAACAATATTGTAATAACTATATAAGATGGCAGGTGGGCACTTGAATTATCAGAGGAAACACTATGTAACCTAAATGGCTAGTTATCCATTGTGCTATACACCTGAATACAAAAATAGTGTTAAATACATATTATAATTTAAAAATTTTTCAAATTAAACACAGAAAAAATCATATAAAAAGAATTCTAAAAACAAAACAAGAAGACAAACAACCCAATTAATAAATGGGGAGTCCTGGCTGGGTGACTTAGTTGGTTGGAGTGTTGTCCTGTACACCAAAAAGGTTGCAGGTTCAATTCCTGATCAGGGCACAAAACTAGGTCCATCCCCAATCAGGGCACATATGGGAGACAACAGATCTCTCTCTCTCTCTCTCTCTCTCTCTCTCTCTCTCTCTCTCTCTCCCCCTCCCTCCCTCCCTCCCTCTCCCTCTCCCTCTCCCTCTCCCTCTCCCCCTCTCTCCTTTTCCCCTTCCCCCTCCTCCTCTCTAAAACAAATCTTCAGGTGAAGATTTTAAAAAAAAGGAGGGGGAAGGGCCTGGACATGTCACCAAAGTAAACATGCAGGTAGCAAATAAGCATATGGAAAGATTCATAACAGTGTATGTCATTAGGATACTGCATAGTTAAATAATAATGAGATACCACTACACATCAATTAGAATGGCCAAAATCCAAAACACTACACTACCAAATGTTGATGAGGATGTGAAGCAACAGAAACTCTGCCATTTCTGCTGGAAATGCAAAATGATACAGCTACTTTGGAAAGCAGTTTCAATTTCTTAAACAACTAAAACTACTCCTGCCATAGTATCCAAAAATTGTGCTCCTTGGTATTTACCCAAAGGAGTTAAGAACATGTCCACACAAAAGCCCACACATGAATGTTTACAGCATCTTTATTCATACTTACCAAAACTGAGAAATAATCAAGATGCCCTTAAGTGAATGGACAAATACACTGTGGTACACACAGAAATGAAATGTTATTCAAATCTAAAGAGAAATGAGCTATCAAACCAGGAAAAGACATGAAGGAACCCTAAATGCATATCAATAAATGAAAGAAGCCAATTTGAAAAGTATATATATATTATATGATTGCAACTACATGACATTTTGTAAAAGGGAAAACTGTAAAGACAGTAAAAGGATTAGTGGTGTCCAAGAGTTAGGATGAGGGAGGCATGAATAGGCAGAGCACAGAGAATTTTTAGAACAAATTTTCAGTATCAAATCATTTTGCATAATACAAAAGTGATGGCTACATGCCATTATACTATTTATCAAAACCCGAGTGTAAAACACCAAGAGTGAACCCTAATGCAAACTGTGGACTGCGGGTAATAATGATGTGTCAATCATAGATGATAACCAATGTCCCACTTTGGTGCTGGATGTCTTCAGTGGTCAAGGCTGCATTTGTACAGGAGCAGGGCCCATATGGAAAATCTCTGAGCTCAATTTTGCTGTGAACCTAACTCTGTTCTAATAAATAAAGTGCTTTTTATAAAAAAAATGAGAAATCTTATGTAAATGAAACTGTTCTGTTAACTTGACTATATCAATGGCAAAAGCATGATTGTGATATTGGTTCTATTATTGGGAGAAACTGGGTAAAGGATAAAAGCGATCTATTATTTCTTATAAGTGAATCTATAATTATCTCAAATAAAAAGTTAATTTAAAAAAAATACATACACTTAGATAACTTAAAACTAAAGTATTAGAAACTCATCAACAGATGTTAAATGAATGTCAGAGTGGCAAAACCACTATTTTTCACTAGAAAAGTAGATGCAGGCTCATAGTACTGTCTATAATAGCACACAGAGTGGGATACTGAATGTATATTTGAAGACAACAATAATAAACTATAAATTATATGAAGGAAAATAAGAGTCATACTTGGAAGATACTGTTTCATTCAACTCTGTAAGTCTAAACTTTCGTTGCTGAAAGCAAGCATTCGACTACGCGTTTTCATTAACTGTTATACAAATAGCAAAATCAAACATATTGTAAAAAGCAGACAGTGACATTTACAGATCTGGTCATTTATAAACCTTTGTTTGATAAGACACATAGTTAAGACCAATAAATTAAAAGTTATATTGTGTGTGTGTGTGTGTGTACACTGGTATAAACACTACTGTACTTACTCATGTACAGCACAGTGGCAAAATATCTAGGATACAACCTCAGAAAAAAATATTTTTCCTTAACCATCACATTATTTAATTATCACACAACTCAATCACTGATGGTTAATGCTACTTAATCATCAATACTGCGCTGAGTGGTTTAGCTGTATGCTTCTTCAATTCCACAGAACCAAGATTGAACTACTTGAGCACAAATCTGTCCTCCTTTTTTAACTAAATGAAAGCTATAACAACATTTATTTATAGTAACTGGGAGGGGGGGAGGAGGAATTTACAAACCTACTACAGTTTGCACTAATGATTATATATACCTGTATTAATTTGAACTAAATGACCTTTACATGAGTAGGTAACACACCATTTTATAAGATGCTGGAAAAAAATTCTTCTTTGATTAGGTTATACTAATATTTATCATCCCATTTAGCTAGTGTGTATTTACTAGCATAAGCACAAGAAATCATTAACTTCTATTAGCTTCAGTAGAATATAAAAAAATTATAAATTAAATAATGGGTGAATGACAGTTGATTTTAACTCCTTATTTATACAATTCTGAAATTCAAAACAAAACATTACATATTGAGCCACATCTATGACACTGAGAAATAAGACATATGAAAGGAGAAAGAAGAGAAAGTAGTAAATGAGGCCAGGGAAGCAAAAAGTCCTGAAATATAAACAAAATACATGCAAAAAAGTGAAAGAAGATCAAGAAAAATAATACCAGAGTAGTAGTTGAAAATAGGTTCCTATTAATAAATTACCAGTGTTCCAGCTTCTAGTTGCCGTAGAGACCAATATATAAATTTTACAAAAGGCTCATGAAGTTTGGCATTCACAAATGGCATCCACTGTAGTTGCTCTGTCATCACAGGCAAAAGCTAAAATTATGGAAAATATAAAAGAACAGTATTTTTTAGATATCTGAAACCAATTACCATAATATTCCAAAAATTATTTTTCCAAAATAAAAAGCACTAACAAAAATTACTTTAAGCCTTTGAGTGCCAACTAATATCCTAGGAACTATGCTAAAATTGCCAAGGCATTTTGAGTTAAGGTTTTTAAACTTTTCCCCACATAAAGAGTGAACTACTAGCATCTAATAGTGACACTGGAGGAGGAGCACGGGGCACTTTTGGCGAAAGACGAGAAGCGCACGATCGCGCTCCCCGGCAGTCTAGGGGTTAAAACAACATGCAATACAATATGGAAATGTGTATTTGAAATTTTAAATATAGTCATGTGCCACATAAAGATGTTTCAGTCAATGACAGATCTCATATACAATGGTCCATGAGATTATCATCAACAGAGCTACAAAATCCCTACCACCTAGTGACTTTGTAGCCATCATGAGGTTATAGCGCAAAGATTGCTGTGATTGAGATGGCAAACAACTTGAACCTGGTGTGGATGAGGATGAACTTGAGGAGTTTGCAGAGGGGGTTCCTGAAGAAGTGACTGAAGAGGAGTTGTTGGAACTGGAACAGAAATATACAGCAGAAGGGCAAGAAAAAAGGAAACTGCTGAAGAAAAATAAGAACCTCCAGGAAAACTCAGTGAAGGATTTTTATTAATATACTAGTAGAGGAACGTTAATCTGCTTACAAGAAAATCTAAGCTAAAAAAAAAAAAAGAAGAAGCAAACCACCCTGGACATATTTCTGAAAAGAGTGGCACCTCCTCAAGAAGAGCTCCAGGTAGGTCCTTCAGGAGATATGTCAGAAGGAGGCTTTCATCATAGAAGACAGCTCCATGTGTGCTACTGACCTGAAGGCCTTCAGCGGGACAAGATGTGGAGGTGGGAGGCAGTGACACTGATGATCCTGACCCTATGCAGGCCGAGGCTAATGTGTGTTTCTTAGTTTTAAACAAAATTTTTTAAAAGAAAAAATAGAGAAAAAGCTTTTATATTTTGTGCAGCTGTACAGTGTGTGTTTTAAGCTAAGTGTTAATAGAAAAGAGTTAAATAGTTTAAAAATTTTTTTAAAGTTTATAAAAAGTAAAACTGTTACTGTAAACTAAGGTTAATTTATTATTGAAGGAAATATTTTTATAAATTTAGAGTGGTCTAAGTGTACAGTGGTTATAAAGTCTACTGCAGTGCACAGTATGTTCTAGGCCAGTGGTCGGCAAACTGCGGCTCGTGAGCCACATGCAGCTCTTTGGCCCCTTGAATGTGATTCTTCCACAAAATATCGACTTCTGCACATGGGCCACGAAGTTTCAATCGCACTGTATGTGCGCACCCGCACGTGGTATTTTGTGGAAGAGCCACACTCAAGGGGCCAAAGAGCCGCATGTGGCTTGTGAGCCACAGTTTGCCGACCACTGTTCTAGGCCATCACACTCATTCACCACTCACTGACACACAGAGCAACTGCCAGTCCTGCAAGCTCCATTCATGGCAAGTACCCTATATGGCTGTACCATTTTTAAATCTTTTATACCATACTTTTTCTATGTTTACATACACAAATACAATTGTGTTACCAGGGCCTACAGTATTCAGTATAATAATATGTTGTAAAAGTTTGCTGTCTAGAAGTAGTATCCTATACCACTTGGCCTATGTGTGTAGTATTTTATACCTCTAGGTTTCTGTAAGTATATCCCATGATATTTGCATGACAAAATTGCCTACAATGCATTGATTCAGCATTATTAGCACATCTAGGATTCTTAAAAATATATATTTTTATTGATTTCAGAGAGGAGGAGAGAGGGAGAGAGAAATAGATACATCAATGATGTACTCGGGATTGAGTCCACAACCCTGGCATGTGCCTCAATATGGAATCAAACAGTGACCTACTGGTTCATGTGTCAATAAAAAGCCTGCAACCCTGGTGTGTGCCCTGATCGGGAATCAAACCTGGGACCCTTCAGTCCACAAGCCAACACTCTTATCCACTGAGCCAAACCAGCTAGGGCTAGCACATCTAGTATTTTGAGGAGATAAATCTAGACAAACATATACTCTGAACCTTAAATGGTTAAATAAATTTATGGTACATATATAAACATTAGAAATGATAATAGCATCTATAATTATTGTGATGGTCTATTTTGGGGTGATAAAAACAGGTTACAAAAGAGCAAATGTAATAAGATCCCATTTATCTATCCTATATAATGAAAGATGTAATATGCAAATAGTTGTTACGCAGTGAAGCGTAATGACGGGATCTCTTATCAGCAGGAGGATGGGGGAGCGAGCTACAAGTGGGCAGCAGAGAGCTACAGGAGGGGGCAGGGAAGCAAGGTATGAGGGGGAGCAAGGGGGGAGGTACAGGAGGGCAGGGCAGCAGGCGGAGAGCTACTGGAGGCCGGCAGCGAGCTACTGGCGAGCTACTTGCACACAGATTCATGCGCAGGGCTACTACAATACATATAAAAGCCTAATATGCTAAGTGTTCAACCGAGTGGTTGACCGACTGGTTGCTATGAAATGCACTGACCACCAGGGGGCAGATGCTCCGACCGGTAGGTTAGCTTGCTGCTGGGGTCCGGCCAATTGGGACTGAGCAAGAATGCTTTAGCAAAGAGATCAAGGAAGAAATAATAAACTTCCTGGAAACAAGCAAAAATGAACACATAAAAATAAAATCTATGGAATACAGCAAAAGCAGTCCTAAGAGGGAACTCCATAGCATTAGAGGGGTGCAGTCCTCAAGAAACAACTGTAATAAACTAATACCAGAACTAAAAGAATTAGAAAGAGAACAACAAGAAAAACCCAGAGTAAAAAGGAGGAAGGAAATAATTAAGATACGAGCAGAAAAGACATAAAGACTAAAATAAAATATAAAAGATCAATGAATTCAAGAGCTGGTTCTTTGAAAAGATAAACAAATATGACAAACCTTTAGCCAGGCTAATCAAGAAACAAAGAGAGGACCTCCCCAGTGTGGCTCAGTAGTAGAGTAATGGCTTGTGCATCTAAAGGTTGCAGGTTAGATTCCTGTTCCAGGGCACATACCTCGGTTGCAGGTTGATGCCAGGCCCGAATGGGGTACTTTAGGGAGGCAACCAGTCAATGTGTCTCTCTCACATCAATGTTTCTCTCTCTCTCTCTCTAGATATATAAATCAATGGGAAAAGATTAAAAATGGCAGCGTAGTACATGGATGCTACACAGACAAACTCCAGGCACCAAACTAGAATTACAAGTACAAAAAAAATATCCTGAATAATCAACTGAAGACTAGCTGGAGAGAACCCTGATAAACAAGAACAGAATATGGAGACTTCAGAGAGACTGATAGGAAGGGTGGAGAAGCAAAAGAGCTGCCCTGGCTCCCACAGACAGCAGCTGAAGTTCCAGGGAGATATTTCAGCTCTGGGGGGTTGCCACTGAGAACTCTGGGGTCTAATCCCTAAGCTGGGCAACCCAGTAGAGAGCACAAACACTGAGAAAGGTGCCCACATCTTATCTGGCTGTGAAAAGCAGCAGGGTTGCTGTCTGCCAGGGAGAGACCACTGGAAATGCAGACACCCGCTTAAAGAGCCAACACACAAAATTTACTGTGCAGCCACCCACCTTGGGCTCCAGCAGAAGGAGAGAAGAGTGGACTAGAGCTGTGTGAGCAAAAGCCAGTGTTGGGGACTCTGGGGTTAGAGCTTAGAAGGCAGAAAAACCGGTTTCCTGTGCTGAGTCACTCCCTCATGCTACGAAGGTCATCTCTCTAAGGCAGACCTCTGCTATCCAGGTAGATTTTGCTTGAGTGGAAGACAGTTGACCAACTCCAAAGGAAAACCCCTTGTCTCACCATGTGTTGTTTCTAAGGACCATTAAGACACTGAGAATAATAGTCTCCAGACAGAAGCAATTGCCCCACTCTGTTGGAAAAACTCTTGCCACACATATGGATTATTACCTGAGGGCTACTCAACACTGAATCCAATCAGTCTGCAAGGCAGGTCTCTGGAGGCTTTGTGTCTTTGCCTGATCTAATTAGTCAGAAACAGCATTTGACACTGTCCTGCACTAGAGATTGGGAAGCGTAGCAGACCTACCTAATACATAGTCATAAACCCAAATAGATCACTTCACAAAAAATTATTAAAGCTCCAAATATCTACAAAGGAAAACAGTTCATAGGGAAGAGGACAAGCTAATATCCCTATCATTGAGAACCTTCCAGGTACATACAAAGAGGGGAAAAGACAAATGAACATGTAGAAATGTTTTGTAGGGCCTAATTCTCAATAAGAAAATAACCTTGATTTTTAATAAACCATTTATATGTTATCATGAAACATTTAGAAGTGGAGCTATTAAAGGCAGGCCAAGACAGGGATGCCCCTCCTAACACCTCTATTATTTAAATACCTTGTGATAGACTTTATAAAGCAATAGGAAGGTCCTGTCTCCCATGTATTTTTGTATAAACTTCCAAAAGTGATAACAGAATAAAATGTTTAACATTAAAAAGCAGACACCATGTTTATTAATTCTAAATAATGTAACTGCTACTTTAGCACTTACTAGAAAACACAAAAAACGACTTAAAACTATTAGAATGATTTCAGTAAACTGGTAAGTTGCTAAAAATATAAAAAGCAAGATCACATTGCAAATACCATCAATATCCAATTTACACTAATAAGAGAGAAATATGCAAATTGTGTCACTCTGCCACGCCCACCAGCCAATCAGGACAAGTATGCAAATTAACACAACAAAGCTGGCAGTTAATTTACATATGCAGGTGTGGAGCGAAGACTGAAGACGACCGAAGACTGAAGAGGCTTGGCTTCTCCGCTGCAGCCAGAATGGAGAAGCCAAGCCTCGCCGCTGCGGCCAGAGTGGAGAAGCCAAGCCTCACTGCTGCGGTCAGACCAAAGGCCTGGGTCCTGGGTGCTGGAGGAAAAC